GGAGTCGCACCGTTTTCAGGCTGAAACCAGGGCAGACGGGTCAGGTGGGCGATGTTTCGCGCAGACGAGATGTTTCGCGCCCCCAGACGAGGACCCTGATAAGACCCTACCAGACCCTTCTAGATTCTATGGTAGCACATGGTGTCCAAAGGGTAGCATGTCATGCCTTTGGGCAACTCGGGTAGGGTCATTCAGCTTGAAGAACTTGGAAAGCATCCAATACGTTTCGCTGCCTCCAGTGGGCAGCAGCGAAACAAGCACAGACACACCGCCAGCCGCCAGCCCCGCCGAAACCACCACACCTCCACCGCCGTCTTCCGAAGCCACCCCTAGTAGGGCTACCTACCATCCAATCATCTTCCAATCCTTACAAAATCATCACTTCTGGGATCACCTCAAGACTCAAAACCACTCCCTTGTCCAACACCGCTCCGCAGCCACCTCGCCCAAACAAGCGATCCAGTCGTACCCTCTCAGCTACGCAGAAAAAATGCAGACACTGTTAGTTATATATATATATATATTGAAAATAGATTGTAGAAAAAAACCAATGATTCATTGTAGGTGCTCGCGGACCGGTCCGTACCCTACTCCAGCGTCGCCACGTTCAGATCCCCGTCGGTTCGGATCGCCTCGACAGGTCGACGACCTGCGCGCCGTCGCGGCCGTTGATGTCGAGCGAGGTGTGGCGGTAGCCCAAGCGCTCGAAGACCTGGAGGCCCGGTGGGGAGTGAGGGGGCAAAAGAGTTCGAGAGGTGGGGGGAGGGAGGGAGCTTCTTGGAAGGGGATGTGGTGAAAGACACACATCGAACACGTCGAAAGAATGAGCCATGTTTTACAACACAGAAATTCCAAACCAAGCCCAAAGGCACCGTTCAATTGATCGACAAATCTAGTTTGCAATTTGGTCAAGAGAAATTTGCAACCCACCCTGATTACAGGTACATCGAACGCACTTGGGGTTGCATCTCCGCCCCTCTTCGGTCTCCCCCCCATCGACGCCTTCTTGGCGCTGGTGATGGTCGGCGACGGGCTCAACGACAAGCTCTGCAGGATGCTCAGCAAATCGCGAAGGTCCGGCGCATAGCCATGGGAGGTCAATACCGTCAAGGCTCCCTGGGACCGAGATTAGCTCCCTGGGACCGAGATTAGCTCCCTGGGACCGAGATGAGGCCGGGAAGGCAGAGGGGGCGGAGTTCTGCGGGAGGAACAATTGTAGCAAAAAAGGCCAAATGCGGAGACATGCGACCATTACACTGCTAGCTGGGCGTGTATTAAAATAGGGAGAACTGAACACCCGGTTCGACGAAGGTTCGGAAGTAGACCGGTCTCTATACACAATGCTTGGCGGTCTCCCTATATGTATACATTATACATACACACCCAGCTAGATTCTACAGTTTGCTAGGAGGGCCCACGCCAGAGGTTGTGTCCTTGGATGACACAGCTAGCCTGTCAACGCCCAGCCTGAGCGAGCCTGAATGAACCAACAGTCTGAGCCTTTGGGGCCAGGGAGTCGTGGGTACACCCAGTCACAACAAATGACACCCAGTCATTGAGAAGTAAGAACCCCCGTACAAGTATAGCTTAGCAGCTAGCTTAGCAGCTAATTGGAAGCCCCCAATTGGCTGCAACAACCCCCAAAACCGCCTTCGTGATCCGCTGGTTGCCAAGCTCACAGATGTGCAATCGTTGCGGTGGTCCTGCTGGGATGAGAGGCTCTCAACGGGCTGGAACCCTGGAATCCCTGGAAGGGTTCTTAGTTTGGAACAAGACTCTCCAGTCTTTTGGTCGCAAATGGACCATTTGTGGAGTTGCTTGCCAGTTGCAAGTCACCCAAAAGCGGCCTTTCAGAGTACACTCCTTGAAATAATCATGGAAGTTGAACATGGCCCCTTTGATGACCTTTTTCCTCTACCTGGTCTTGCACTTCCATGATTTGGGAAGGAGTAAGGAGTGTAGGTCTCCACAACATTTCCACCACCAAACTTGGGGTCGGAGGACATCTCCGAGCTGTTTACAAACTACCTGGCTCATACAGGGTCAGCTTCGAGGGAAAAATAATCAGAAAAACAGATCAAAAGCTGGACACGTCGGCTGGACCAACCTCTTACACCAAAATACCCAGCAAAAGGATCAATCTCTGTGGTTTAGCTCAAGGCCTTACTGTATTACGGCTCGCCCCGAACCCCGCCTCAAGGATCACTCCTGTTTCCCTCCAAAGACGTACTCTTTCGGCAAGCGCTTGCTACGGGAAAAGCAGACACGTGGATTTGGCCATAGATTGGGTATACCGGTATACCGACCCGATCATGACCAGAAACAGTTGATGGTGATGGTACCCAAAGGCCTTACCGATATCTGTTGCCGACTCTTACTGGTAATCGGACACCCCCTAATCACAGATTCATGGCCCATTCGCGCGCAATTTTCGTGTTCCAACCATGTTTTGCACACAGAAGTCTCACCCTGAAAGGCCTGGACTCATCAAGAAGTAGCACAGAAACACCGACAACTATAAGAAACTCAGCTGCTACTCAAAAATGATCCCAGCAAAAGACCCCAAACAATGCGCAGAAGATTACAATGATGAGTGGGTGGTAGCTGTAGTGGTGGTAGTAGTGGTAGTGGTAGCGGTAGAGTGGTAGTGTGGTAGTGGTCGCGTCGTAGTGGTACTGCGGTAGTGGTAGTGTGGTAGTGGTAGGGTGGTAGCGTTCTACTGTAGTGTGGCAGTGGTAGTGTGGTTCTGTTGGTGTGGTGGCGGTAACGTGATTGTGGTTACAAGTTGTGGTCGTGTGGCGTGGCACCAACCGCAAACAAAAGGCCAGTGCGTCCTCTGCGCCCGACAAGTTTATGGTTGGTGGAGGTGGAAAAACGCAGCATGGCGCGAACCAACTAGCAAAGGAGCGGCCTGCCGCGCCTATGTCAACCGTCAAAGACGTATATGGCGAACATTTTCAAGGCCGCGTCTCACCGTCGGCGACAGACAGGAGCTTTGGGATGCGCTCCCGGGCACCACGCGAGCTCGTCGAAGAGGGCCGGGAGGAACTCCAAGACAGAGCAGCCCCGGGCTTGCGTTGGAAGAACATTGGGGCCCGCTTCGATTCAAGGTGCAACCGAAGACTCAGTGCAGCAACGTTCCTGCTGCAGCGGCAGCCCAGTCGCCGCTCGCCCAGGCGCTTGACGGCAAGTTTCCACTGTGGGTCACCGGGGTCTGGCTGGAGCTCCCTCCTCGTCCTCCTATATGTCTCCTCCTTTTGGTGTCCGTAGTTGTGCGGCGCCCCGCTTCAAACATTTCTTCATGCTTTCCACCATTCATCGGCTTGTCCGCTTCAGAAGCGTCGCTTCAACGGAAGAGTAAGACCTTCCGTCGCTTCCCCTTTCTCGGTCGATCCGAGCGACGGCATTGAGCTTGAAGCAGCGCTACAAAGTGACCACCAACTCCCATAAACGTGCACGCCACCACAACGAGAGCGCAGTCGACGAAAGCACCCGCTCCGCCCCAGCAGATTCTGCGAGCCTGCGCAGTCGAAATGCACTTCAGCGAATTAGCCAAGCTCCTCGATCACCACCGATCAACACCCAGCCTCAACCCTCACTGTAAGAACCCCCAGTGTGACCACACCGCTAGGGGAAAAAGACTTTCCAGTGCTGTCCTCTCTGGCTCTTCCTGAAAATCGTTCACTCCTCAAAGAAGTCCCCATCCCAAACCTCTTCTGACTCAGTATCTTCAAACCCTCGTGGGAGACGCCGCAGTCCGCACACCGCATGCGACCCAGTCCGCCCAGCGCCTCGTGGGAGGGATGCGAAGATGGCAGCCAGCCCCGTCCGATCGATGCCCATGGCGAGGATGGCATGTTTCTTTTTTTCCGATCCAATGATGCAAGTTCTTGAGACTTGGATTTGGCTGAAAAAACATCAACCAGCATAGACCCAGATAGCTAGGCTGAAGTAAGAACCCCATAGCTGTCGCTATCTGGCGAAATGCACGAATGTTCCCCAGAAGGGGGATTCGGGGACAACTCACCACCCGATCCGCAAAACCAGAGAATCCGATCTCCGAGAGACTGGCTGTATCCTAAGAAGTCGATCGTTTTGACGGTTTGGAGGCATTTGGAACGGCCGTTGCTGAAGATCCTTTGGTGTTCATCTACGGTGCCAATTGATAATTGCAGTATTGATGTGGATGGGAACAACAGGCCAGCATGGGCTCAATGTTCTTGGTGTGTTTTGTTGCGTTAGGGACTCATTCCCAAGTCTGATGTATTGAACCGTGTTTGGTCGAGATGAAGCAGGGTCCAAAGCATTGCTGGTGGCTTCATGTTCAAGAGTGAAACAAGTTGAGAATTCTCCTGGCATGTTTCCACAAGTTGCTGGACTCGTAGTTCAACGTGTGAAAGAAAGGCTTTGACTTGATCAGACCAAGTCCTCTTCACATGGGGGCTGAAGCCAAATTCAACGCGGGCTGTTCTGATGATGAACGCTTCAATTGTGAACGCAGGACTCCAGCCTTTCGAAAGAACATAGTGCAAGTCAGCAAAGCCCTGACTAGTTTCCCAGTGTTCGTTGTCAATATCAAAATGCATGCATCTCTATAGGGGTGGGCACACATCAAAAGCCCAAGTCGGTATCTGCAAGATTAAAGAACTTGCCGCTGAAGACGCAATGCATGGTCATGAGTCTGAATCATCACACGCGCTTTAGTCTATGCACCTGCGCGTGCAAACACCAATATCCCACCCATGTCCTTCTAGATCATTCCCAAATTTTGTCCACAAAGAGCAACAGTGAGCTGCAGAAACACATCAAATCATTTGGGTAGGGGGTCAACACTTCAATATCTATATATATGTTATGTATGCATGTGTATATATATATATGTGTGTGTGTGTTATGCATATATTTATATATACATACAGTGTATATACACATGTTATGTTGTTCATATGCATGATAAAAGAACATGTTGCAGGACCATGACCCATTGACCCATAGCCGTCCTCTTCATCCAGATCATCCTTCCCAGCATAGCGGTGCACCTTTCGGGCATGGGCATAGTGCTTGGACGCATCACGATCAGAAGAACCTCTCAAACTTCCCTTCATGGCTGCTCTCACGGATGCGCATTTTCCTGGGCCCATTTTCCTCTTCTGCGCCATCTTCAGGCAAGCCCAAGCTGGGCTTTCGTCCGCGAACCTCGTCGCCACAGCTGGGCTTTTTGCCCAACGAGCCAAGAACCGTGGAGACCCCGACGTGCAAAATGAAACGGCTCCGAACAAAAACACCTACGAACCAAGTTCGGTCTATGAAAATGCGGATCGTTGGCGTTCTTTGAAAAAGCATGTTCTCAGGCTACAAAAGGGCGCAGCCGCCGTCCACATGATTCAAACACACGCCAAACAAATGGACCGCTCTGAGAGTCCTGCCGTTGGGGTACGCCAAACTCGAAGCTGCGGGCCATGAACAGTTCTACAGCTGAGTCTTCGCGTCGGTCAGGCCCATGAGTTTGATGTACTTCTCGAAACCCTTCAGGACCACATCATTGTGACCTGCAGGCAGCGTGAAACACAGCCAGGGCTGAGCCCAAGCACAGCCAGGGAGTCGCACCCCCTTCAATGTAAGATCAAGACATCGCCCCGCCCGACCGAACAACAAAACTAAATTCCTCATCAAAAGACCTGTGGCACGATGGTATGATGGTTCTGTGTTTGATGGTTCTGTGCTCGGATGAAAAAATTACAGCACTTCCGATCAACCAGAAGACTCTGACTTGCTTGCTCAACCGAAAAAAAAGAATGCATTTGAATCTGATCTACCTATGGTGAAGGTGTGTCTGAGAGCCCATCTCTCTAGCCTGCTTCTCCAAAATCGATCAAACAACCAACATGAGTTACTCTAATGAGTCTGTGTCCAATCTAGGGACCCCAAACGCTCAATCACTTCGTTTTCAACTACAGTACCTTTCCCATTACCACAGGAATGCTAGGTACCAAAGGTTAGTGATGGTTTTTGGTGATTCTGACCGCCCCAAGTGGTTCCAATGGCACGGTTCGTAGCGCCTGCGCGCGGAATTTCGCTGAAGGCATCCTCGCGGACCTTCTGCGCTTCCTGCGAGCGCCGAAAGGAAGATGTACACACATGGCCCTGAGGCATCTTCATGTGGAGTTTCGCGATGACATTGGGACAGGTGTTGTCCACCCATGAGGTCTCATCTGGGCAGTTGTGCAAACCTCAAACTTCTCTGGAAGGAAATCATCTGTGAGGATCCTTCTTCTCTGGAAGGTACCATCTTTGGAGAAAGTCAGGACACTGCCACTACCCAAAGTAGCAAGGACCCAACGAGCCCACTGATCCCACTGGCCTTTTGGGACAAGTTGGCCAGCGTCTGGCCCATGTGCGACGGGATCAGGTCATCCTGGTGTGCGACTCGGCTGTGCTGTGTTTCTTTTCAAGAGCCAACTACAGTATGTGATCTTGGAGCAAAGCGTGGCTGCCGTTTGCATACGAGTCTGAATCCTTGACATTTGGGGAAGCTGGGTTCTGTTCGGGAAGTTCTGACTGGCGAACCCACCCCTCTCTCCTGTGCGCCGTGCAGAACATGGATTTGCCATCCAGCCTGTCAAGCTAGGTGTCTGGCGAATCTCCGGACCATTTGACCAGCTTGGAACAACGCCCACTGACTGTACCCTCGGAACAACTCACCCTCTTGGATGTCCCTTCTCACTCTTGTTCAGGGCACGAATTTGACCAACATCCGGTGGCCAATTCAGCAAAATCCGAGTCAAAGAACCGTGGGTTCTCCACATCTCACCTATCCAGCGACATCCGTGCGACATCGGGATTCGCCTTGGCCGCCTTTCCCACAGACTTGCTGTTGTCCCACAGATGCGGCACCACAGGCCACCTTACGGCAGATCACACTCCAGTCATGCAACTGATCAAAAGACTTGAGCTGTTTGATCAGGTCATCGGACGCTTCGATGAAGCAGTTCAATCAACCACCTAGGCTTTGTTGATCCAATCCAAACTGTAAGCATGTCGCCACAGGCTCACATGGGCGGGCACATCCCCTCAAAGCGGCAGGTATTTGAATTGGTTTGGGGGAAAGGCCAACCCTAGCCAGGGCCGCAACAGTAGAAGGACGATCCATGGTTTCAGCCTGCAATCGAGGGCTGGTCGGGTTGAAATAACCATACCATATTTATGACTCATTTATGACTATCAAATATACATATGTCATATGCTACGCCCACACGATAAGAGGGAAGAACACCCGCTATGCGTCGAACAAATCTGCCTGCAATGATCTATATCTGGAAGTTGTAAAATGCAAAAGTTACTCCCAAAAAATGTTTAAGTTATTTGGTTGCTTGTTGGGAAATGCCATGTACTTCAAGAACAATGCCCTTAATCTTTTGCACATTGAAACCAGAAATGAGTCATGAATATTAAATAGATGTTTGGTGCTCAGGGAGTCCCGGGGCAATCAAACTTTATGAAGGCTAAAAATAGTCTTCAAAATCAACACTACCTTTAAGGGCTAAGTGTACTTTGAGGACGTGTTTGTCCAAACCCGCTCTCACTGGAATTCTAAAACTACACCGGCATCGACCCCAGATTGCAACCAACTCTGAAAACAAACAGAAGTACCTGAGACAAATTGCACCGGCATAGGCCCCAAGCAGCATTTAACGCTATCAAGTAAGTCATAAAAAGATCCATGACAGCTTCCAGTGACTGTGAGTGGGCCCAAGAAAACGCCAATCAGACACATAGAGACACACAGGCACAGAGAGAAAGACACACAAACGCGCACACACACACACACAAACACACACTCGGGACATGATGCGTACGAAATGAAAGCCCCATGCCACGTGCAAGCTAAGGGAAAAGCCTAAAGAAACAGGGTTGAATGTATGTATATACAGTGGTCTAAACATGAGTCTCCAAAGGCCGCAGGCCTGTAATCCTGAAGTTCCAAATTAAAACTCCTGTCCCAGTTATAGACCAGGGGCCATTGGGAAGTTGAAGGTAAAATCACGGCAGGTACGTCTGGCCGACCAGGCCACATATCAGCACGGAGCTTGACCCTCAGACACACTCAAAATTCAAGATGAAGTACGTACGATTTGGTTTCGCCACCGCCCAAAGACGTAAGTGAAAAAACTGGTCTGAGTAAACGAAGTAGTATGCAAGGCGGTCTAAACATTTGGTCAAAGTTACGGGTTGGCGTCCCAATCCGCTTCACGGAGTGTCCACAGCTGCCTTCGTTGGCAGCAGAAGTGTGGACTCCCTGCTGCCCGTTGCTGTAATGAAAAACTGAAGAAAGTCAAACCAAAAGGCTCCCCATGATTCCAAGGGCTACACACACACACAGACTAGTGGAGGTACTGAATCTGCTGAAAATGGAGGCTCCACCTTGGCAGCTTGGCCACGACATGAACCGTGGTGGGGGGCCATGCGCAAAGAAGGCTTGCCTTGAGCACAAGTGTACACAACGAGCATTGCAGCAAAAGTTTGCTATGGGTGGGAAGGTCCCACAGCCAGCTCACGGCACCAGCATTCAGCACTACCACCGGCAACAGCACCAACGCCCTGTCCCGAACCGCGCACAGCCAGCTCATTCTTATTTGAAGTAAGAACTCCATAGCTATCTGATGAAAAATCAAACATACCCTTAGGGTCCAAGTGCTTTGAGGATGGGTTTGTCCAAACTGAAAGTTCAACCAATCAGGCTTTGGCACAAGTTAACACATGAAACTGGAGTTGAAACATTTATTGGAAGGAACCGCAAGAAAAGGACTTTGTGAAATGTCTGTTTGCTTTACCATACAAGATTACATGAGATATATGAGGGTCGTGAGGGTTGTGACGATCAATCTCTATGTGCATTGAACATATGATCTGCTACTCGGAATTCAAATCAAACCTCCAGGTATAGGTGTGCATTAGAATCTTTAGAATAGGGAGACCGGCCCAACAACCGATGCAACAAAATCTATAGTCGATGAGCCTCTGGTTCTTGTGAGTCTTGTGTCTTGAAGACCCCCGGCTCCAGAAACGTCTCCGCCTTTGCCCCACTGATGCCATCCATCTAGAAGATGGCAAGTACTTCTCCAACGTCTGCACCTGTCATGGTTGCACATCTAGAAGACCGTCTCAAAACCGAAGAAAAGGCGTCAAAACCGCAGGGCTCCCGCCGTGTTGCCGCGCCGACGAGCAAGGCGCCGTAGTCACGCCGACGGAGGTCGGACCGAGGCCACGGAGGCCGCAGGTCCGTGGGGTGTTCCAACGACCAGTCCATGTTGTCCGGTCAAGATGACAAGCAGGCAAGACTGTGGAAGATGGATCAAGACTCACCAAAAGACCCTCTTTCTTCAACATGCAAACTGTCAAAAAGGCCTTGGAAAACCTTTAGAGTCCCCTAAGCCATTGCAACAACCTCAGCCAGTACCGTTCGATAGCCAACCGGCTACCTGGAAACAAGCACCTCTAAATGCCTCGCCGAAGTGTATTGAATGTTGCATAGTTTGATGTTGAAGCCATGAGATGATCTGTTAGATTCTATTAGATCTGTACCTTGCTCAAGTGTGTATGCAGCCTTTTGGAAACTGCTCTTCGCCCTCACACCACGACTCGTGATGAAAATCCCCCCTGCACCTGGAAGGGCAAGGCATCGACCACGAGTCCATAGAGGTGTGGGAGGCCTTTTGAAAGCCTTATGGTCAGCTTTCAATGACCCGTCTCTTCAAAGATTGAAATGCGGACAGGATACATACATATGTGCATATAATATATATATAGTATAGATACTGCCAGATACCTTTGTAGGTATGTCGTAAGATTGAGATAGGATCTATGATTCAATGATTGGTGTCCAAAAATGTGAAATGGGTTCCGTTGCACAGGACATGCCAAGAAGTGTCCGTCTGGTTCCTGAGCTAAAGAAGTGGCTGTGAAGCAATGGTGCGGCGGGCTTTGTGTGTATGTATGTATATATATATATCACATATATATATATATCACATATATATAT